CCGATCTGCACATCCTCTCGGCGGTACTCAATCACACTCAGTTCCTCCCAGTGGGCGAGGTCGTTCAAGCTATCAAGCTTCTCATCCAAAGTATAGATGACGAGCCAAAGGACAACGAAGCAACTAAGCTTTTGACGAATGGCACCAATCCATCAGACGATGACATGGACCTGGACTTTGCTACCGAGCTCGAAGCAGCCTCGCACGAAATCGATCATGCCTTGTCGGTGCTTGACCATGGTCTGTTGACGCGCAGCCACACACTGCGACCCGCTCTGATCCGGCTCCATACCTTCTCAGCACCAATAGTCAGTGCAACTCTTCGCTCAATGTTGCCGCGGCGAGACCTCGAATCGCTGATTCGCCTTCTGCATCTGGAGTTGAAGAACGGTGGGTGGTCTTCGCCACTGGGCTTTGTAGAGACAGAGTCGCCTCATGCTGAGAACTCAGGCGATGACCCTGACGACCATGCAGTCGCCATCATTGCTTCTCTTCTCTCTACCACTCTCGACGCCATTGGCGCAGGAGCTTGGTTGGCTTCTGTCGGTACAATCTCCGCCTCAGAGACCGGGGAAGACATGCTCAAATCATTAAACCGGGACGCGTCTGTAGCACTCAGTGGTTTCTTCGAAGCTCATTTCATACGTGGTCTACTTTCAGAGTTCCTACGCTACGCTTCCACCGTACCGACCTCGAAGAAGCCTTCTAACAAGACTTTGGAGGTACAAGGCAAACCATTCGGTGTCGCCAGCAAGCTTAGTGGAGAGGAAGATTTGCCTATGCTGCCGCTTGGAGCCAAGGCAGACCAGGGCGTGGAGAAGATGAAGAGCGGCAAGGGAGGAAAGAAGGAGCCGCGAAGCAAGAGAGAGATGGGTATGCTGATCAGTAAACGCGTGCCGAAGTACAGCTTCGAGCGCATTGTTGTATAGGCATTGCTTTTGAAGTTTGTATATAGCAGCATATACCACAGATCGTACGAACTACCAAGCATCTTCTTTTCGGCGTTACCAATACAGATAGACCGGACGAGTCTGATAAACCTTCGTGTGCCCATACCGCATCCCGACATTGCGACATTGCAATTCATGCGGATGATGACCCGACCGAAGGCCCGAATGGCTGGGATGTCCCTGTGACTAAACTTTAGATCTGTCTTAGCGCGCTGCTTGGCCACTCACATCACGGACCATGACGTCGACCGCGCGTGTGAAAAATACCGAACGCGGCGCGACTGTCGGGTGCGGAGGATCGGTGGCCCCTATGGGGATTCGTTGGGCGATCTAGCCCTGAAGGACTCTCAATAATGTCTTAACTGTTACTCGATTCATCTCTCGCTACCTGCTCATCTACCTGGGTAGTCGATTGAACTCACAGCGCCACAATGGCGTCTACCGCGACGGGCCGGAATGTTGCGGATAAGGAAGAGGTGGATTCCACGAACACAGCAGGGGAATCACCACGCGGCGAGCAGGGGCAGTCGAACGATTACCACCAAGATGCGACACTCACGGAGGACAGAGCAGATGGAGAGAAGAAAGAGAAGAAGCCGTCAAAACTGAAAGCAGCGTGGACTAAACTCGGTCTCGATCCGGGCACGCTCATGATGATGGGCAAGGCGGCACTGCCTCCGACAATTTGCCTTGCGATGTATCAGGCGACGCCCGTTGCGCAATACTTCACTACGTTGGGCTACCTGACTGCTATTATCAGTATCCTAGGGTTCTGCATCATGCCGCGCGCAAAGTTCATTCAGACGATGACGATGAACATATTGGCGACGTGTGTTGGTTCGGCTCTCGCTATGCTCATGGTTTGGTCGGGAGTCAAAGCCCGACAACATACGACTGTACCTGGGGCACCACCACAACGTTACAACTCTTCGCAGTCGGCAGTCCTTGGAGTGTGGCTTTTCTTCCAAATCTATGTTATCAATGCTATGAAGGCGAAGTTTCCCCAACTGGCTTTTCCGGCAATCATTTACGCAATTCAGGTCAATGTTGCAGCGACTAATGGCTTCTTGTTTCAAACAGTACCGCAATGCGAGTCCTTCATCAGAAGACTGCTAGTGGCATTCTTGACTGGTTTCGCGATCGCAACCGGAGTGGCCCTATTCATCTTCCCTGTTACATCGCGCAAGGTGGTGATGAAGGAAGCAGCAGGATACATTGGCTTGTTGCGAGGGACTCTGGGCGCGCACAAGAACTACATCCACAGCCTGGAAACAAGCGACATGTTCGGCGAGAAGTACGTGCCAGAGGACGGAGATGGGAAGAAGAAGGCGAAACCCAGGCCGGAAGTAGCGGCTATCAAGAAGATGACTGGTTCACTGCAGGCGTTGCACGGCAAGCTTACTGCGGACTTACCGTTTGCAAAGCGCGAGATCGCATATGGAAAATTAACGCCAGACGACCTCGAGGGCATGTTCAAGAACCTGAGGGCGATCATGCTGCCAATCTTGGGTCTCGGCTCGGTTATGGATCTTTTTGAGCGGGCGGCTGAAATCAACCACTGGGATGGACAAGAAGACGAACATGACGAGGAGATCAGAAGGCAAACCGTTCAGGAATGGAACAACATGTTTCAATTTGTTCATGAGCCGTTCAACAACATCTTCCAGGCTCTCGATGATGGACTTACACACGTTATGTTTAAGTTGCAGCTGGCCAAGCCGCCGAAAAAGAAGAAGGGCCAGAACCAGGACGACGCTGAGGCGAAGGGTGACGCTATCAAACCAGGAGAACCGGGCTTCGCAGAGTACATGCAGAAGCAAGCCGACGCTTTCTTCAGCAGGAAGGAACCTACTTTGCGCCATTGGGTCGAAACCAAGGGCATCAAGCTTCGCGACGATTACTTCTCGTCTCCGTCAGCACTTGACGAAGAAACCCTGAAGCTCATGCCCAGCATCACCACACGAAACCGGGATCAACGACAGCTCTTCATGGTACTCTACGTCATGTTCCTACTCAACTCCATAAGTCGGTCCGTGATCGAATTCGTCAAATTCGCAGATGAGCGCGATCAAGCGACTTTGAAAAGCAAGTTTATCTGGCCTGGTGGACGGCGTTTCAAGAAATGGGCGAAGAGCATCTTCGCGAGCCAGGACTCCACCTCCGACGACGAGACGACAGTTGCGGGTTTCGACAGGAGCAACACCACTGTTTACATGGGCGAAGCCTACCAGGAGAAGAAAGATCCCGAGCATCTGCCACCCACAAACGCATGGCAGAAGTTTGGCAATGGTGTACGTGGCATCTCACGTTTCCTGCGGAGTGATGAGTCGGCTTTTGGTTTCCGTGCTGCGTGTGCGACGATGAGTATAGCCGTCGTCGCTTTCCTCCGTCCAACGCAACAGTTTTTCGTTGAACAACGCTTAGTCTGGGCTTTGATCATGGTGGCCATCTCTATGACTCCGACAGCTGGTCAATCAATTTTCCAGTTCATACTCAGAATCGCAGGTACAGCCGTCGCAATGATCGTAGCCTGGCTCATTTGGTACATTCCTGGGCAACAAACTGCGGGTATCCTGGTTTTCCTTTGGTTCTTCGTCGCAATCGGCTTCTACATCCCGTTAAAACGCATGGACCTCGTCATCGTTGGAATGATCAGTGTGGTCACTGCTACTATGATTGTTGGTTATGAACTACAAGTTCGCAAGATTGGAGAACAAGCCGCGACAGCAACGACAGGTCAGCCTGCATACCCGATCTATACACTCGGCCCCTACCGTCTTGCCACCGTAGTGGGTGGTCTAGCTGTCGCCTTCTTCTGGACTATCTTTCCTTACCCCATCACCGAGCACTCTGCGCTCCGACAGAAACTTGGTGGCGCGCTATACCTTTCCGCAAATATGTACAGCATCATGCACGAACAGGTCATGGGCCGCATCCGCGGTGAGCTAGGCGGCGACGAAGAGACTGACAAAGAGAGTCCAGGCTACCAGCTCGTCAAGGCTCGGAATAAGGTCTTCGCCAAACAGATGCTCACCCTGCAAGGACTGAAGATGCATGCCGGATTCGTCAAGTGGGAGTTCCCACTTGGAGGCAAGTTTCCCAAAGAAGAGTACGAGAAAATCATTGGCTACGTCGAGAAGTACGTATTACCCCCAACAATGCAGCACCGTAATGGATTGAGCATGACTAACAAAACACATCAGCATCGTAAACTACACGGCCCTCCTAGGCTACGCCTCCCAAGCCTTCACTCACCCCTCCCTTAACCACCAATCCGCCGACCCCACATCCCCCGAAACAGAAGAAGGCGCCTTCCAAGACCACCATTCTGCCCAATGGTTCAACGACTTCCGCCGCGTCATCCTCTCCGCAAAAGTAACTTCGCATGAGATTACCTCATTACTCGCAATGCTCTCTTCCAGTGTCACAAACGCACAGCCCTTGCCTCCTTATCTACACGCCCCACCAGGTGGCCAGCTTAGCCGGAAATTAGAAATGGTGGACCCAGAGATCTTGAGCTTGAGACACATCGCCGAGCCAGGATACGCCGCGTTCGCAGTCATGAGCATAAGTACGAGATGTATACACATGGATATTGAACGGCTGTTGAAGGCCGTCAAGGGGCTGGTGGGCGAATTGGACTTCTCGTTCCATGTCGTTAGCACGAAGGATGCTGCGGGTTCGGATGAGACGCTGGTTAAGAGGAGTTCGAGGAAGCAGGATTAGACATGTTATAGATTGTACAGCTTTTGTAATGTTTGGTAATGGCAAAGAGATTCGCACGATTGTATATAAGGTTGGGCAACGTTGGTTATGACAAAAGTGTAATAGTAAGAGGGGGCGTCCCCATCCATACGAAGAATCTAGCTAAAGAGCGACGAGAAGATTGCATCGCCAACCATGTTACACCACATCACCTCTCTCTCGTCAGCGGGTATCGGAGTGTTGGACCCGGCGCCGCTGACTCAAGAATTCCGAACATCGACCAGAGAGCACTAAACCATTCTCGCAGAAACGCTTGCCACATCATCCTCAAGTTTGAGCAAAATTTCACTGGCAAGTGCCAACAGCCCTCGCGGAGAAGATGGGCTTGTTAGGACCGAAAGTACCGCAACGACCAGTGACATCGTAGACGATGCTGTTGACGCTCGAGCAAGTGTTGTCAGAGTAGGCAACGACTAACACGATCAGATTAGTTCTCATCATCCCGAAACCAATTACTTCGTTTCAGGTAACTCACGAGTGCAACCAGCAGGCAGCGCCGGCAAGTCGGTAGGGAGGATCAACGCGGAGTCTGTGTTTCCGCTGAAGATGGGCGAGGTAGGGAAGCAGGAGCCATCGGCGGGGATGTAGGCGGTCGTCACGGCGATGCCGCTGTTGCAGCCTGGGCCAGAGTAGAACTTGAGAGGGATTGTGTCGAGGCGCTTGCTCATCTCCGTTGGGGCGGCATTGATGCTGACGGCAGCGATGAGGAGGGCGATGGTGGTGGTGAACTGCATTTTGAAGTGTGTGTGGGGTTGGTTTGCTTGAGCGAAGTGTAGTTGAAAGTGTTAACGATACTGTTGTGATGAAGACTAGATGATGAGTAGATGCTGTAATATTTATACTTTGTCGTGAGGCTCATTTCCTGGGCCAGGTATGCCTAGCTGTTCACAAAGTTTCGTTAGCCTACCTCTGCTGACACGAAGGATGCCTCTTCGCACGGACATCTCAACGAAGTTTGCATGGCCTATGGATCTCTTGAAGATGTTGGTGTGAATAGATACGAGGGCTGACGTCTGGCGATGTCGGCCTACGGCGCAGGTATCATGGTGCATCAAGCTCCCACATCCGACCCTGCGAGAGATGATTGGTCGTCCACTGGATAGGATTCTGGGAAACCTGGCTCCAGGCCAAAAGAGGCGTCATTTCCAACACCTATGCGACTAGGCTGGGTCTTCCGCGATGCTGTTGAGAGCTTGGGATGCACACTTTCGCCTCACCGCCAGTAGTCAATCGTGTTGGTGGTGAGCCAAACTTGTTCATCCTTCTCTTCTAGAAGGCTGATTCACCCTCGTGGGTAGGCCATATCCTTCTTAGCGCATCTTACTGTGCAATAGTTGTGTGACCTATAGGTACATGCTACTGCTCAGCTCACTCAGGAAGCGCAACACCAATTGCGAGCACGTAACAGCGTCCGGGATAAGGCCGCGATGAGTCGAACGGATCGTCGGGTTGACTGGTACCTGTTGGAGATAATACAACAGTATGCTGATGGGAGCCGCCAAGGTCGAGGAGGATGAGAGGGTATGCATCTCCTGCATGATTCTGCTGCACCTCATCGTGGAATATGTGGACCTTGTATTCCTCAACGCCATCACAGTCTTCGCAGTGAGGTACTTTGTGAGCAACGTATGAGTACGTAGATAAGGTGACAGACGCTGGTTTTGCGGAAACCGACGTTCTCATTGCTAAGAAAAGGCTGTGAGCTATCCGAGCCGATGTGTTGCTCGATCTCCCGTGAGCATAACCCGACCTGTCACTGGATGTGGCGCATTCCGAGTGAATCTGACATGCAAGTGATGTGACCAACCTGCATCTCCAAGCAGAAGTTCTGACGTTCGTTTGCCTGACACCAGCCATCGAATCGATGATATGTTTCTTTTCTCGTATGAACCTGGTCTGCTACCCTGGTAGGCGATCCTGCGAGGCTGGACGTCCCGTGCCGCTGACAAGGTCTAGGCTTTCCGAAGGGGCCGCATGGTAGCGGAAGCGCTAGGTTCCTTGGTGAGCCGTACGGAAGCGATGTTGGTGAGATGGGCTAAGCGTGAACGATGACCTGCAGGAGGTGGTGCAGATGGGTGTAGATGAACTGTAGTAGGGAGGGCACAGTGCGAATTGAGACCGATCACCGAGATACTATCTCATCTACGTCTCTTCTGTACATCAACATCATCGCCCTGGCAGTGTTCGTTTGTATCCAAGCACCAGTCGTAGAAAGTCCCATTGTATTATCTTACCACTCAGATCAGCCATTGCCACCCAGTGACTATAGGCTAAATGCGATGCGATGGCCCACGGACTTCCTCGCTTCGAAACTGCAGCTCGGAGATGCTAACGCGAACCGATGACTTCGTACCACGGACTTTTGTTGGTCGAGAGGTGAGCATCATGCCCGGTGACGCCAGAAGAACAGATGGTGGCTTCAAGCCATCTTTCCATTGGCAGTTTCTATCCACATTGCTCCAGGATCGAGCGAAGTGGAAAGAAACAGCAGAAGGCTTGCGAGACGCCAACACCCTGCTGTCTGATTGCATTGAAAACAAGGTTGACTTTGCGCGATGAGGTGGGAGATGAAGGTCCAAGTGGCAGATGTGGAAACGAGGCAATCTCGCTGCTTAGTCATGTTTCAGCGGCGGGGCTGGGCCTGCCTCCAAGGTTTGCTTTCGACTACGCACCTGACTCCCAACACCAGCCCGCAACATTGTCATAACGACATACCTGACGCGTTTCTAGCACTTCTATTTACCTCCAATCTGCATGAACACCATAAGCACCGCCGCGTACGCCGCAGTCGCTGCCACCACCTCGAAGGGTCTATTGATGGTAGCCCCTGCCATTAGTAAAGTAAAGAGGATCACGAACCCCGTAATGATTCCCAGCCGATTGTTGTTATCAGCAACATTCTGCATCCACCATAAAGGTGCAAGCAGCATAGAGAGCCCTAAGGCTATTATACTGAGCGTGGTGAAGCTCTCGAAGGTGTGGTCGCTAGAGTAGGATGTAGCGTCCGATTGGACATGCAGGTCCTCTAAAAATTTCGCCTTGAATATTCGCCATGTGTGTAGGATACGACACGCCTCTAGCCAACGGCCTAGTGGTGGACGAACTCGCTCATTGATCGATATCAAATCGCTCTTGTGTTTGACGAAACATGTTTCTGACGGGGTGATGGCTCCACGCTTCAGCCAATTCTCGATACTGTTGACTTGACGGGACTCTGCTCGAGGACGTTTGCGTATCTTGGAGAACGCGTCGATAAATTGATCTATCGCGGTTAGTCTCGTCGCGTTGTATAGCCTTTTAATACTTACTATAATGTAGGAGTAGACGCGAGAGTTCGTTCATGATTTGGAAGCGGTCCTGCTGATATTGCTCATCCCATTTGAAGCTGGAGTTTTTCCGCTTCTCTTCTTGCTCATTCGCGTTGTGAATGTCTTCCAATTGTCGCTCGAGCTGCGAGATCCGGTACTGCAAATACGCTATTGTTGTCGCGTTTAGACTCTCAAAGCGTCGAAACACGAAAAAGTCGTCGTCTGAAGCCATCCACCTCCCAAACTCTTTGTAGCCCTCATACTTCCAGGCTTTCTCAAACTTTTCCTTATCGGTCACTGATGCGTCACTGAGGGTACTTCCCGCTGGAGCGAGGTTCTGCATAGGAACCTGGGAAAACGTAGTGGGTATGTGTGCACCAGGACCTGGCAGTATAGGATCGCGAGCGCGAAATATATTTGCCATGATGCACGTCTTTCGCTGTTATCGACTGCCCGGGCCAACACATTACTTATTTGTTTGATGACGGTGACACAAGGCCGGGCTGAGCTGCACACCCCGCCCGTCCAGGCAGTGCTATGTTACATACTACAGGTGTTATTGGCCGCCACCTAAGTCCAAATATGCACAGCCGCAAACGGAAAGCTGAAGAGGAGACCGCATGAAATACGCAGCGCGTGCATACACTGTTCGTGTCATTCGTCTTACGCTTGACCGGAACGCGACGCCACTGGTTCGCGCGTGCCGTCTCTGCGCCACACGTCTCCAGTACCGGAGAAGCTCAATGTCCAGAGCCTCACTGGAATAGACCTTTTAATTAATGTGCGTCTGACTTGCTGCCTCGCGGGGCAGATAAGAGTACTCCTCCAGCGGCGCTCAGCCCTGCTCTAACACTTCGTCACGATATACCTGACCGGATTTCATCGCGATTGTATCCACTCAGACTGTATTAATCGCCTTGCTAAGCTCAGCTGGTCTCATTCACATAGCCACGTTCGCGCGGCCCGCTCCGTGGGCTAAGAGCAAGTCATGCGTCCGTGGAAATCTAGCAAGAGCAAACTCGAAGCTGTCAATGCATTTCGATTTGCCGACCAGAAGCATGATAATAGATACGCCCCACAGGCGGAACCAGAAGATCCGCCTGAACCAGTTTTTGCTCCCGTTCGACCTGGTGAAGGGCAGAACTCGTCTTATTTCGGTGTCTGGGAACCTCAACCACCGATGTCAGCACAGGGCTATTACGCAAATCCGACGCCAGGCCCTCAGTATCCAGGCTACCATCAATCACCACAGACCCAAGCACAGGGGCTTGGTATACAACAGCAGTATGGGTACCCGCAGCAAGGTTATGAAAGCCAACAGCAAGGCTACAGCAGCCCTCAGCAGCCGTCCTCGCCCCCACAGGGTCAACCCTCCTTCGCGCCCCTGAATGCAGATGGGAGTGCGTACCAGAACAACCAAAGCTATAATTATAACAATAATTACGGACCGCCGCCTGCGCTGAATGCCTCACCGGAGGGCGGTTTCCAGTCGTCGCCACCAACGCACAGTAGTCCAGAGCCACCCCAACAAGCTCACACTCGTCTACCACAACGTAGCTTAACATTCGACAATCCATACGAGCAGCCATTCGCACCACCCCAGCGCATACAAACTGAGCCTCCCCAAGTTGCCCCACATGACTGTAATAACTATGGTCTCGCGTGAGTAGAGAGTTCACTATGTTAATCCTCAGTGCTAATACGCGGCATGCAGGATCCTTGGAAAGTGTACACGTTGTGGATATAGGCCATAGCAATTTACTGTGTTGTTACGAGAGAACAAACCTGTACTACAACCATACCACATGCTAAATGCCATGCTTGATTGTCAGTGAGATCACTTAAGGGAATATCAACGGCTCCGAGGGTCCACGAGCAGGTCGTCTGCTATATTGAAATTTCCGGAGGGAAGATTTTCCTCGGCATGAACAATTCATGAAGGGCAAGCCCAAGAGAGATGTTACGAGAGCGGGAATTCGTTGTGACGATAGGAAAGTACGCTCCCGTCTGATCACAAAACATCGGCAATCGTGCTTGCGACATTAGCCCGAGCTTGCGAAAACTATCAAGCGGTCGATGAACCAGCTGTCGTATTTGCTTCAATCTGTTGCTTGCTGACAGAGTTCGATGTATACTTGTCCCAATCCCTCGACGATGAAAGACAAAGCAATGCGTAGGTTCTTCTCAAAACACAAATCAGCCACAGGCCGCATAGACCTCCGCGGCGGTGAGCAAGCCATTTCGACGGCGCCAGCACCCGAGACGCAAGCATTGGTGTTATCGTCAGCAATAGAGACGAGGTGAGTGACACTGATGTGCATTCTACCTGACTCTGACAATACAGTATGCCAACCGAAGCAGCCAAAGCCTACGGGCCACTGGTACTGAGCGACCCCGATAAGGCTGCGGTCGAGTAAGTGCTGAAG